CATTTGTGATTATAAAGAATTTCATCTTCGAATTTAGTATTTATTTGAGGATTCTATTTTTTAACCTTAATTTTATGTTATTTACTTTATTGAAAATATTTCACTATTTGGGCTAAATTTAGAAATATTTTTTCACTTAAAAATTTCTTAAGAAATCATCCATTTGTGATTACTAAGAATTTCATTATAGGGTTTTATTCATTGTTTACTTCCTAATTATTTTTAGAGTGGAAATAAATGCCAATTATTTTTGTAGAAATCTTATCTAAATTTTTTCACCATTTTGGTTGAATTTGGAAAAAGATTTTTCACATTTAAATCTCTTAAAAAATCAACCATTTGTGATTTTCTTAAGATTTCATCCTTGGATAATTGTCATATACTTTCAAAAAAAATATAAAAGTCATATATTTTGTTTTGATTTGAAAATGAATGCAATTATTTTTGTTGAAATTTCATCTAAATTATTTTACTATTTGGATCAATTTAGAAAAAAAATCTCACCTAAAAATTTATTAAAAAAATTAACTATTTAAAATTTTTAAAAATCTCATCATTGGATAGTTCTTATTCATTCTCAAAATTTTATAAAGTTTACTATTATTATTATTATTATTTTACTTTAAAAATAAATACCAATTATTGTTGTTGAAATTTATCTACATTTTTCTCCATTTTTGTTAAATTTAGAAAAAACATGTCACCTAGAAATTTCTTAGAAAATTATCCATACATAATTTTTAAAAATTTAATCTTTAAATAATTACCATTTATTTTTCAAGATATTATTAAAGTTTTATTTTACCTTTAGTTTATTTCAATTTTATTTTTATTAATCAAATTAATAATTTTACCTAATCCTAAAAATTCCTACCTTAACTAAAATATGATAAAAAGAACATAAAATAAACTAATTAAAACACAATAAACAAAAAAAAAAAGAAGAGAAAAAGTAGAACCTGCGATACGAGTTGAAACATATTGATGTTTGGGAAATTAAGAATCATCATTGGAATCTAGAGTTATCATCGAAACCTCCATCGAGAACTTTAACGCTCATTGGAAACTATCACTATAATCTAAAAATCTTGTCGGAACTACAGAATCTCATTGAAAAATTGTTAGAAATTGAAAAAAGTATAAAATTTAAACTTGAACTGTCTAAAACTTTTTTACTTTCAAATTCTCCTCTGTGATTGTTGTGTTGGTAAATGATGAATTGTTGGGTATTTATAGGAACTTAATCCCAGATTGATAAGGACTCTAACTTAATAAAAAATTATTCTAAAAATTATCTTCAAAATTCATTCACATTCTCACTCATTTTTTTTTTCAAAATCAAACTCCTTGGATTAGATAAGTACATTATGTATTTGACAAAGAAATTGATCTTGGTGCAAAACCCTTGAATTGAATAAACTCCTATCCTCCAAGAATTAAACTTAACCTATACCCTTTTTTAACTCTTTTCTTTTTTTTTTTGTTTCAAAAAAATAAAGATAGTTAAGAAATAAATAAAGATATATAAGAAATAAATTACTAAATTAAAATAACTAATGAAGATAAATAACTTATAAAGATAAATAATAAAAATTTTAAAATAATAAAAATATGGTTTTTAAGCTTAGACCCAAATTGGGTCCAAATAATATCAAAAACTAATATGTCTCCAAAAGTAATTCCAAGCTTTTAAACCTTGGATAAGATTGGGTATCTATAACTGTCCCTTTTGCACATTTTCTATGAAATAAAAATTCTGTAAAGATATAGACATTTATTACATCTGGGTCTAACTTTAAATAAAAATTTAGAAATTCTCATATGAAATAAAAGTTCACAATTTGGCTATAGACAAAAAAGATTAAAAAGATTCACAATTCCAAAATTAAAGGTTCCCAACTTGAAATTCTAAGATTCATAATTTGAAAGTAAAAAATTCGCAATTAAATTTAAGGGTTCGCGAATATTCAAAAATTCACAAAAGACTCAATGATTAACAAAGAGTTCAAAGATTAAAAAAAGATATCAAGATTCACAAAATGCTCAAAAGTTTTAGAAAAAAAATTCAAAGGTTTGGAAAATATCAATGATTCACAAAAAAAACTAAAGATTTGCAAAAGTTCCAAGATTCACAATTGAAAAGATTCACAAATAATTTCAAAAATTCACCAATGAAATTTCAAAATTTTGCAACTGTAAAGATTCACAAATAATTTCAAGGATTCCCAATGTCAAAAAAAATTTTATTAAAAAAAAAAATTTTAATTTATAAAAAATTATATATACTATTATATCCTTAATTTATTTAGGATATCAGAAGATTTTATTTTTTTAAGTAAAAATTATGAAATTTATAATTTTTTAATAATAATGTTTTTTATTACAATAATTAATAAAAATTTTTAATAAATTTTTTTTTTTTACTTTTCTTAAAATTTTACTCCATTTTTATCTAATAAGTTATACACATTTGATAAATCTTATACAAATATATAAAAGTTAAAATCTTTGGCAAAAAAGAAAAAATCTAATGTGAATGTTTTATGTTTTAACCCATGGATTGCTTTACTTGATGCCATTTGTTTATTAATTAATGCGAATTAATTATTAGTTTTAAAATACTTAATAAGTAACAAAATTAATTAATTTTCTTCATAAAATTGGCTCGCAAAATCTTTGGAATCATATTATTACTATTTCACTAAGAATGAGATTTTATTTAAATTTGTATTATTTTCATTATCTAATTCTAAGCTTGAATATCCTTTATTTTTAGTAACATTAATGAAAAATATATGACAATTTAATTACAAATTTCAAATTTCGAAGCCTAAAGGAGTAACTAGTACATATACTATTGCCCAAAAATTAAAGCAAATCATATAGACTTGATTTTATAAAGATTACCATGTCATAAATTTAAAAGAAACCTTAAATAGTATTTGTTACTTGCTTTATATAAATAAGTTTAAATCAAATTATAATCAAATTTATTATCTTATTATTCTTTATCTAAAATCACTCTCAATTAAATTAAAGTTTTAATTTTTAAGATCCAATTTCATTATAAATAGGAATAACTTTGGTGTGTTAGAGTACTTGTTTGAAAATATGTTTCAATACTTTTGTTTTGCTTTGCTTTTTATATTTTTATTTGTTCTATTTGTTTGTTTCTTTTTTTATTTGTTTTTATATTTACTTTTTACTTTTTTAATAAATTAATTTTCAATTTTTGCACAAAGATGTTAGGTATGTGTTAGTGTCCAATATTACCTCATTACAAGTAGAATTTCCACATTGTTTCATGTTTAAAATGAAGACTGGTACCATTCTAACTACTAATGAAACCCTACCGATTAAGAATCATTTCTAAAATGACTTTATATATTGTTAGAACCATATTAGGTTTTCAAAAAGCAATAAATTCTTTCCTTTCTTTATACCTTTTACTCCTCTATGGATCGCATCAATTGAGTGCATATGCAATAATAAGTGAGAGGGAAAACATTACTATTGGAGGGAAAGATGTAAACAATTAATGAATTAATTAGTTTTTAGTTTTTTGGGTAGATATATGTATGCTTTTGGATGAATATTTGTTACAAAAGTTTTCCTTCCTTTCAATTGTTGTTTAATTGCTTTTGTTCAATATATATACATTTTACACTTTTTTTTTGTATATTAAGATATGAAAGGAAAATGTAGAGATGAATGAAATCTATAATTTTTTTTTGGACAAATTCCTCTTAAGTTAACAAAAACTATTGAAAAAGATAATAATGCAAAATCATGAAAAATAAAATTTTTTGTTATAAAAATGGTTGTGGTAGAATTTCAAAAGTATCTAACGCTATCTCATAAATATATTTCATTTATAAATATGTTATGCTATCAATGTTATTTCTTTCTTTTTCCTAGAATTCAATAATATTATTTTTTTAATTGTAAACACATTACTTTTAATTTTTTTATACATTCATAGTTATAAAGCATTATTTCTATTTGATGTGCAATAATATTCTTTTTGTCATTAATTTGTTACTTATAAATTGATTTACTCCAATAATTAAAATTTTAGCATTTATTTGTTATTTTATAAATTGATTTAATCTAACAATTAAAATTTCTTGTTAAATTCAAACCTAAAATTATAATATTATCGAAAGAAGGGGATATACAATGTATTAATAATAACATTTAAAGTTTTATTGCTTTTTATATAAATTTGGTTGAGTGTAATTTAAGATAAATAAAAATAAATAAATACATTTAATTAATTCAATTATTTTGTATTATTTTTTAAATTTTATTTTTTATGAATTTAATTACTTGTAATTTAAGCTAAATAAAAATAAATAAATGTAATTAATTTTGTTATTTTGTTTTATTTTGTAAATTTTGGCCTAAACAATTACTTATAAAAAAATCTTTAATAAAAAAAGTTTGTATGAGAGATTTAATTTCATAGGATGAAATTTTCAATTCTTTGAAATCAATGACGAGATTGACTTTTGATTAAAGACTACTTATATTTAATAAATTATAATTTGAGTTTTCAATTTTTTTGATAATTGCATTACTGTATTTAATATATAATTTATTTATTTTATTATATTGAAATATACATAATCCAAATAAAAAAAGGAGCATATCATTAGCCTTTCATCTATAATTATTTTATTATATTATTGTACTACAATTAATTATAATTTAGAATTATGTGAAATCTATTAAAATTTTATATAGAGTTTACATTTATAAATTGTAGGTTTTAAAATAATTTTGAATTGTGATTGTATAATTATAAAATTATAATAAAATAAATTGTAGGTGAAATGTTTCATAAAAATATAAAATTTGAGTTGTTCATAAATTTAAAATTTATAGTATAATTTTAGAAAAAAAATTATATGTAAATTTGTTGATTTATAAATATATCTAATGCATCACATTAGTTTTAAACTAGATATAATTTATAAAAAGTAATTAAATAATTTCATTTTAAAAAAAAGTGTGGAAAGAAAAAATGGATGTATTTAAAAGCTCCGCGTGCAAAAATAAAAGGGGAGAACAATTGGCGATAGGTAGGCTGAGGGGACGGAAACAAAATCAGGGAAATGTGTATTCAAATCAAATTCCAAGGATTTCTTTGATCACATGACTTAAACAGCTTAAACTCCTATCCCCGCGAAAGATTACAGTTTTCCTTTAGATTATCGATGGCGTTAAATTCTTCAACTCGAATGCTATAGAAATCGACAATTTTCGAGTGCCGATCCCCCATGGAGGAAGGTGATAAAAGCATTGGTTTTGGTGGGGAAACCTCTTCCAGGGTTTCGGCTGGTTCACCATCTTGGTTGTTTGCTAGGAGGCAGCGATTCACCATTGATCTCAGGCCTGGTGAGACCACGATAGTTTCTTGGAAGAGGCTGGTCAAAGATGCTCAAAACACGTCCCTTCCTTTGACTGCCCAAAAGACTGAGGATTCTCTGGTGAGAATTTCTGGTCCAAGCCTATTCCACTGAATTGCTTGCTTCTACTTCTGTACATATATATTTTCTAGGATTGGAGTTTGGTACTTCTTTCATTTTCTTTAATTGAAGTTAACATTGTAGGAATGGAATGTGATTAGTAATTTTGATAGTATTGTTTTTGTAAATTTAACTGGGTCTTTCTTACTTATAATTGTAAATTATCTTATACTGTATTAATAATTTTGGGTTTGCTTATTTTCATTGTATGGATAAACTATACGGGTATGCTTGGAGCAACATGTTTTGGTAAAATGTATGGTTCTTTGAAATCAAAACTACTTTGAAGCCCATCAAAGCTTGGATTTAACCAAACTCCTTATTGCTTGGTGTTCCAAAAAAAAAAAAAAAAGGAAGCTATATGAATAGCTATATTTCAGTTATGGAATCTGATTTAAATACTAATTGCGGCGCAACCTCTTGTTACAATTCGCTGCTATGTTGGAGGAACTAAAAGATGAAAACTTCCCTAAATGTCCATGATTTACTGGCTAGATGCTAATTCTTTATACCTAATAGGTTGATAGATTTTATTAGTTGTCTTCTTGTGCTGGGTTGTCTATGAAAATATCACCTAAGATATCTGACCTTGTAAATTGCAGTATGATCCATATCAGCTCATCTTTTTAAAAATAAGTCAGATTAATCTTGTATTTATTGTGGTAACTAGGACAGAATAAATGTTTTGGTTGCCTTCAGCCTGAATATTTTTTTGGCATATAACAGGTCTTTGTTTCCTTATTATGGTACAATTACACTCAAGTTCATGATCTGGAATGTTCTCTTTGCCTGGCTTATTAACTTAAAGCTGTAAATGGCATTTGTATTCCTGATTGGGCCTTTGTGGCTCCCTAGGATTTCGTGGTGATTTGTTAAATTATAATTGTTCAAATAGAATTCCAAGCATGCTATATAGAGCTTCCATTTGTGATTATATGATTTGGATGGACGATCATATTGTTTAATCTGCGATCATTCTGCAAAGTTTTTGCCCTTGATTTTCCTAATCATGTTTGTGGTAGCATTTTTAAGGGAGACCCTGTTTCATTTAAAATTGCTGTCAATGAACCCACTAATATATTAAAATGTGAACAAACTAATGATTGCTTCTTGACACAATTTAAACACTAATGGTTCGCTTCTTGTTTGTAAACTATGGTGATTGGAAGCCATAAAGAGTAAAGCTAGGTTAGCCATTTATAGCTATTGGATGTGATAAGCGCGAATCTATGCACGATCCTTTTTTCGTAATCTTATGTCTAGGACTGCTTCTATTGCAAGCAATAAGTGCTAATTAATACTTGATTTTGGATCTGTCGACATAAAAAAGGAAAGGGAAAAGGCAATATCCCTGTCACTTGTTTCATAAACGTAAGAAATTGGAGAAGTGATTTAAGGACAACTCCTTCCAGTGAAAGTCACCGAACCTCCAACTTTATTTTTGTTTTTTTTGTGCTTTTGTGTTGTCTGAGACTAGTTAAACTAGACAGTTGCAGTCCAGATGATTTGGGATGTAAGAATTGTTCAATAAATGACAAGCCAAGCTGGGACTGTAGTTTGATCTTTCATCAAATGCTTTAGACTGCCAAAAGACTTAGCCTCAAAGGCTGTTGTCAATCTTTGACTTTTAATTGTAAAAGGAAATAACAATTAATTGTGGCAGTGGACTACAAGGTGTTAAAATGTGGGCATTTAGGTTCATTTGGCAGTTTCTTTATACGTGCTTTACAATTATTCACTTTTAGGAGCCCCTAAAGATAAGAAATTGATCTCTAATTTAGTTTACCCCCTAAGTTTTTTGACAATTTGGTCTATTACCTCGTTTTTTCTGGTTGGTCCTTTAATCCTGATTATCTTGATATAATTTTGTGCCATGGTTGATGTTGGAGTTGTAACATAACTAAAACTTAGCGCTTTAGAATGCTTACTGTTAGCAAAGATGAATGAGGATTTTAGTCTGAAAATGCTTAGTTAGAAATCATTTATGAGGAGAAGAATGGAACTAAAGTAGTTAATGGTTATCACAATTTTTGTATTCACTAAGATAATAAATTCTATTTTCATAATTGTTATCAGAGCCTGTGTATGTGGCCTGATATCATTAAATTGAAATTCTATAAAACTTATCGTCTCTTAAATATTTTTAATTATACATTTATACACGTATGTAAGTATAATAAACATACTCTCATATTGTACATGTATACTGCCTACCTAGATGCTAAAATGCAGGTACTTATGGTTTCTATGTGAGTGTGTGGGCATTCTTGTAGGTGCATAAACCAGTCAAGCCTATTGTCACGGAATCATAATTTATTAGAGTAACATGCTTTGTCTGAACCCTGAACTAGAATTTGATGTACTGGATTTAATTACCCTATGTAATGAGGGAAGTGGGATTATTGCATTTAATTTGGTTGGAATTGACATCTATTGTTTTATGTGCTATAACTTTCTTTTGGTTTTTATGTTTTTGTTTGATGCACACTCATGTGTTAATATTTGGTAAAGATCTCAGTTAAATTTCAATTTCATTTAAGACAAACTTTTATCTGTTTGTTTATCTTTCAAATATTATACTTCCATTTGACCTCATCCTAGTTTTGTAAATTTCAGAAGATACTGATATGTTTCAATTTGGTTAATAGTGATATTTTTTAACAAGAACTATATGTTTTGTAGAAATCTGATTCTCTTACATTAGTGCAGATCTGATTCTCCTACATTAATGCAGCTTGATTTCCTAATTTATTTTTGGAATATTTCTCATTTTAGTCAACATTTTTGTGGAAAATTTGAGAGTATATTGAAAAACTTGTCTGTTGAATCATACAAACACCATAGATTTACTTAATTCTAGAGATACAAATTCTCAATTTTAGGGATACAGATATATACAGATTACAATCAGCTACATAGATTACAACTAGTTGTAACTAAATGTTTTCCCACACTCCCCCTCAAGCTGGTGAATTGGTGTTTTCCATTCCCAGCTTGGAAATAATTTCCTGAAATGTTGCACTGTTGAGACCTTTAGTCGACATATCTACAAGTTGACCCTTGGTTGATACATATGGTGTGCAAATCAATCCACTGTCTAGTTTTTCCTTTATGAAGTGCCGGTCTATTTCAATGTGTTTTGTTCTGTCATGTTGCACAGGATTGTGTGCAATGCTTATTGTAGATTTGTTATCACAGTAAAGTCTCATTGGTCCATCTCATTTGATCTTTAAGTCTTTTAGGATAATCTTTAACCATAGTAGTTCACAAATTCCTTGAGCCATTGCCCTAAACTCTGCCTCAGCACTTGATCTCGCCACCACATTCTGTTTTTTACTCTTTCAAGTTACAAGATTACCACCTAGAAAAGTGCAGTAGCCTGAGGTAGATCTTCTGTCAATTACCAAACCTGCATAATCAGCATCTGTATATGCCTCTAGTACCAGCCCTGAATTTCTTTTAAAGAAGATACGTCTCTTAGGAGCCTTCAAATAGTGTAGTATATGATAGACAGCCTGTAGGTGCACTTCTTTAGGATTATGCATAAATTGACTTATCACACTCATTGCATATGCTATGTCAGGTCTAGTATGTGAGAGATAAATAAGTCTTCCAACTAATCTCTGGTACATCTCCCTATCTACAGTAGCATCTTAATTAGCTTCTCCAAGCTTATGATTAGGATCTATGGGGGTATTTGTAGGTTTACATGCGAGCTTCCCCGTTTCCTTCAAAAGATCTATCACATATTTCTGTTGTGAGATAAAAATACCATGCGTGAGTGAGCTACTTCAATTCCTAAATAGTACTTCAATCTTCCTAGCTCTTTTATCTCAAATTCTCTGACCAAACACTGTTTTAGAAATTCTCTCTTTTTCATCATCTCCAGTTACAATTATATCATCAATATACTAATAGAACTGTGACCTTCCCTGAATCTGAGTACTTGATAAACAATGTGTGATCCCTTTGACTCTGTTTATATCCCATTCCTAGCGTCACTTTGGCAAATCTCCCGAACCAGGCCCTAGGAGACTGTTTAAGGCCATATAAAGCCTTTTTCAGCTTGCATACTTTTTTTTGCTTCTAGATGACCTCCAAATCCCGGTGAAACTTTCATATATATTTCTTCTTCCAAATCACCATGCAAAAATGCATTCTTTACATCAAATTGTAGAAGCTGCCAATTTTAATTTGCAACCAAGGATAACAAAATCCTAACTGTATTCATCTTGGCAACTGGAGCAAAAGTTTCCTGATAATCCACTCCATAAGTTTGAGTGTAACCCTTAGCCACCAGCCTGGCCTTGTATCTTTCAATAGTACCATCTGTCTTGTATTTTACAGTGAAAACCCATTTACACCCAACTAGATGTTTCCCTGTAGACAACTCTACCAGTTCCCATGTCTTATTTTTCTCTAAGGCCTCCATTTATATTTTCATGGCCTGCCTCCATTTCTCATTGGATAATGCCTCAGATAATGTAGTTGGAATAGAAATAGTGTTTAGGCTCACAAGAAAATTTTTATGGGATGGTGAGAATTTTTCAAATAACACAAAATTAGAGATTGGGTATAATGGATGTTTAGTACATTCTCTGGTTCCTTTCCTAATGGCAATAGGTAGATCATAATCACTAATTTTAGGAGATTCATGCTCATTTTGAGAAATAGAATCAGAGACTATAATTACCTCATTTTTAGAGTTAGGATTAGGTTCTTGGATTGCATTGGTTTAGGAGCTGGAACTTTTTTCTTGAGTACACCTGTAATTCTTTCACAGAATCAAGAATAGTATTATCCTTAGTCACAACTTCTTGTGTTTGGAATGGGTTCAGATTTAGAATCAGTGTTTGACTTGGACTCTGAAGAAATGGTTTAGGCTCAAAAGAATTAATGGGTGAAACTGTTTTGGAGGAGGATGACAAGTCAAGCAAAAAGAAGTTTTTATCCTTATCTTC